TCGTGAAAATTCTTTCTCTTTTTACCTATCATGGAAATATTGCATGGAAGATTAGTTGATTTGAATTTTTCTTTTCTTTTCTTTTTTGGATAGCCGATGATTTTTTTTTTTTTTGAGATATATAATTTTTAATTTTGATTGCACATTAGTATCATGTGATTTATATCAACAAATCTCAAGCCTGCAACCTTATCCTATTTTCGGACACAGGTCCCTAAACTATCTTTAGATTTATGAGCCCTTTGACTAAAGTGCTTAAGCATTGAGGGAAAATCCTTCGTTAACGGTGCGCTATTTTCGGTGAAAAAGCTATTCACGGCGGTCAAAGAAAATGGTTAAATTTAAAACAGGAAATAAAAAGAAAAAATAATCCTATGACAAAAAAAAAAAAAAAAAAAAAAAAACAAATCTCAACGATGAAGAACATTTTTCCAAAAAAGTTTTTTAAAGTGTTTCAAATATCAAAAAAATTCTTTAAAAAAGTAAAAATTTTTTATAGAAAATATTTTTCAAAATAAAGTTATTTTCACAAACTAGATAAACCCTCAATGTAAATTATACCACTATTTTGAAACTTTTAGTGGTTAGTATTTGTTTATTTGTATTTGCAAAAGAAGGAGTAAAATAAAAACCAAGTAAAAAATATAATAAGTAATAACCTCAAAAATATATAATAAATTAGTATAGTAAATGAAAAAAATAAAATAAACATATTTGACTCAATAAAAGTTTTGAAGTTAAGGTAAAATTTTAATCTCTAACATTATAAAAGAATAAGTTATTATTAATACAATTGAATATTTTTGGCTAATTTTATGCCCTACAAAAGTTATGACAACCTAAGACTCTTTTAAAAAATACAGAGTAGAAGGAGTATAGGGAGGAGAAATGTTAAAAGTTGGCCTTTTTTGGCAAATTTTTGGCAAAAAAAATATTAGAGAGTATAAGAAAATTTCTTATGTTTAATAAATCATATTAAAGATTCACTAATTGTTATGTTAACATTTAGTTATGAATCTAAGAACAAGTTGAAAAAACTAATGGTAATTATTTTTTCAAAATTAAGATAACAAGGAAAATAATATAAAAATTAAAAATTAAAATCAAAATAAAAAAGTTTTTTGGACTAATTTTAAAGTTTTTTAAAAGACCATGGAGGGCCATGGCCCCTCCTGGTTTTTACATAGCTCTACCACTACTTACCTTCAGCCATCACTGATTCTATAGATGTAATGTCAATAAGATCAAGGGTCTCAATTTAAAGGGATAACCTGGTTAACTTTAGTAGATAACTTCCACAAGTGATGATGTTCCCTCTTAGTTTTAGGACCTCTTAGTTTTAGAACCTCTAGCATGCTCGAAGTTCTCGTATCTACAAGCAAAATAAAGAATAATATAAACTTCAAAGCTGTAGAGATGTGATCTTACAAGAAACTCATGATCTTAAAGGGGCATCTGTTCCAAGTAGCCAATGAAAACTTAGCCCTAAAGTTCTACTAGTGCTAGATTATTGTTTTATCAAAAAATATATCCGTATAAACTAATGGATCAAGTTTTCTAATTCATTTAGGGTACTGTTGATAAAAGGAACAAAATGATTAGGTCTTATCATAACCAAACTTTCAATGTCTATCAATACTTTTGGAAACTACAAAACTTTTCAGTTCATTATAACTTAAATCTATCTCCTTTAACTTGTTTAAAGCAACTAATTTTGGTGTTTACATAGACAAAATGAAATTAGTTAAATTACAATGAGAGAAAAGAAACAGGGTGTCATTAGAAGGATGCATAATGATTGATGAAAACAAAAAACAAGTGAAGCAAATGATTTACTTTTAATATTTAGTATATTTTTTAATTTGTTATCACTCAAATTAAGAATCTTGAGAGATGAAAACTCCCTTAGAAAAGATAAAATCCTGTTATTGAACGAATTATTATAAGAATTATTGTCCAAATCAAGCATTTCCAAATGACTTTGCACCAGTGGTCTTTTAACACTTGCACACAGTTTTTTAAGAAATAAGCATTGTTTGTATGTTTACAACTAATGAGTAGCTTTGGGTCCCTCAAAAAAACATAATGTTAAAATTTGATCTCATATCTTATTTCTTAAAGCATAAAAGATTAATTGGTCATGTTATGTAAATGACTACTTGGAATATAGAGACTTCCTTCCTTCTCATTGTTTGCTAGATTTAACACTTTTAAGTATGAAAAATCAGCCAAAGACGATAGTATGATACTGTCCAATTGGTTATAATTTTCCTTCCTTCTCATTGTTTGCTAGATTTAACACTTTCAAGTATGAAAAATCAGCCAAAGATGATAGTATGATACTGTCCAATTGGTTATAATTTAAATCAAGAAACTCCAAATAACTCAAGGCTCAACCATGATAAATAATCAGTAAAATTTGAAATCAATTTCAACTAAATTGTGGTAGCACAAGTTAACAGATGGAAATAGATTTCAAAACGCTTTTTAGATGGGTAAGGATTTGAAAAATTACCTCTATTGTTGACTGGTCGTGTACTCGAATGAAGTGATAGATTCAGATACTTAAGAGATAAATCATAAAAGTCCTCACGGAGATGTGTAAATACTGCCCTCAGACAAACCATTGGAATTCAAATCACGAAACTCCAAATGGTTTAAGATTGAAAAGCCTTCTAAACCTGTCAGAAATTAAAAAAAAAAAAAAAAGTAGTGAGTTTTGTTTTAAAACTGAAAATTATGGTGCCCATATATCCCACAAAAGGGATAATTAATTAAAAAATAGTGTTCTAGTGGAAAGAGTATGAATCACCTTCATTTTCCATGAAGCGTTGTATCCCATTGTCCCTCAAGGAAAGATTCTTCGACTCTTCAGAGGGGGAGAACAGAAAAGAATTTAGATACCAACCATTGAATTCCAAATCCCTAGCATGCTTACGAGAGCAGGATTACTCTCTTTGTTGTAATGTTG